CGCAAAGCAGCACTGTGAAATCCAGCTTCCGCAGAAAATTTTCGCTCATAGGACACCGGCCAACATTCTTGCACAATATAGGAGTGGTGTTAGAAAACCCAGTTCTACCCCTTATTACCATTTCTACCTAAAATGTATGACGTGACTTGACCAATCATGAGGAAATATCAAATAAACCCATTTGAAGAACATTCTGTAAAATAACCAGACTGTGCTCTTTAAAAATGTTGATGAAAGGCAAAGAAAGATTGAGGAACTGTAATAGATTTAAAACAACCACAGAGACATGACCACCTAATGCAGCCTGTGATCCCAGTTTGAATCCCAGATCCCCTCAAAAATGGGCAGAAAGGACATTATCTTTTTGTTAAGTTCACTGCTGCTCAGCTGGTGGTGCCCAGCTCTATCCATTATATACTGTTAAGTGACATTCACTTTTAAAACTCTTCTGCATGATTATTGCTCTTTTTCTGAAGCTAGGAGAAATTGTGTGGGAGGAGTAACTGGGCTTTTGCCTGACACCACCGTCTAAGCAGCAAGCAGGCAGCATTAAAAATAAGGCCTCTGCAGAGCAGGCAAACTTAACTGAAGAAACGAATGAAACAGGCATCAGAGGAAACTGTTGAGCAGTGTGGCACACCTGAGGTCAATACATGAGCTCCAGCAAAACATTTTCCTGAAATAACCAAGCTCAATGCTGCATTCCCTGAAAAGAAGCAAGCTTTTCAGGCAACGAACCATCTGTTTCAAGTGTTTAGAAAACGGATCTCCAATCATGGGTAATTTAAACTTCCTTATACCCCAGTTCAATGTTTGATAAGAAAAGAGTGCTAACAGGATGGGAACGGAGCTACTATATTAAGAAGCCCGACCAGAACAAAAACCAGCCCCTGGCAGTTATTTTGTTTATGCTCCAGACCCTTCTGCTTTAATGAACATAATATTTACATGAGACCAGCCCCTGTTACATCTTTTGCTGCAACTGTCACGTTTTGTTCTTTGTTGTTGTTTTTACTTTTCTAAAAAAAAGTTCCTGCAAAACACAGTTGAGAAAGAATATGGCTGAATGAGGCACATACACTGAAATCACACCATAGCATCCTACCTCCCAAAGAGCCAAGCCCACCTGCTTTGTGTAGTTTGGGGTCAGGTGTCAATCAGGTTGCCAGGTAAAATACAGGATGTCCAGTTAAATTTGAATTTAAGACAAACAACGCATACTTTTTTCTTACATTTTTTAATTGTTGTTCAAGTACAATTGTCTCCATTTTCTCCTCACCACCCCCTGCCCGACTCCAACCATCCCCACTTGCCCCCCTTTATCCTATCCCCCTTTGGCTTTCTAAATGTGTCCTTTCTACATGTTCCTGACAACGCTTCCCCCCAGCACCCCACCCCCGTTATCCCTTCCTACCCCCCCTCTGGTTGTAGTCAGTTTGTTCTTAATTTCAATGTCTCTGGTTATATTCTGCTTGCTGAATAATTTGTTTAGTATAAGTAAATCTCAAATATTACATGAGAAGTACTTATACTGAAATTAAAAAATTTGTTGTTTATCTGAAATTCAAATTTAATTGGGTGCCCTGTGTTTTTATTTGCTACATCTGGCAACCTTGGTCAAATATTGCTCAGAAGGTTGCATGAGTGGAAAGAGTCAGAGAAAAATGAGATATTTATGCCTTCCATTCCCAAGTGAGCTATTCAGAGGGTCATAAAGCAAGCATACCAGGGTTCACTGTTAAAGGACCACTCTGAGAGGCGAAGTTGAAATCCACTTGGCCACAATACCTGCTAGTACTAAAATAGTAGCAACACCTAACACATCATCCTCGCATTTCCCTGGACATCTTACCCTCAAAAATCTCTCTTGTTCATATTGACTTTGCCTATTTTAGATTTTGTTATATTCATAAAAGTGAAATTATGGAAGGAAAGATGTTCACATTTGGCATATATCATTCTGAGATATTAGCAAGTTACACTCCAAAATGTTTACCTAATTATGCTCTATCACCTGATACAAGAGTGTTGGATTTATACAGGTTTCAATATTCAATATTATTGTTTTTCTTAGTGAAGGCTGATATGGTTGACTTGTGTCCCCTAAAAAAGATATGTTGAAGTCCCAACCCCCAGTACCTCAGAATGTGACCTTATTTGGAAATAAGGTCTTAAAAGAGGAAATCAGGTTACAATGAGGTCATTAGGGTGGGCTCTAACCCAATAAGATGGACACCATTATAAAAGGGACAAATTTGGACACAGACATGAACACAGTGAGAACACTATGTGAAGATGAAGGCAGAAATCAGGGTGATGCATCTTTAAACCAAGGAACTCCAAAAATTGCCAGCAAACCACCGGAAGCCAGGGGAGAGACACGGAACAGGTTCTTCCTCCCAGCCTTCAGAAGGAACCAACCCTGCTGACACCTTGATCTCAGACTCCGGCCTCCAGAACTGTGGGACAATACATTTCTGTTCTTCAAGCCATGCAGTTTGTGGTACTTTGTTACAGCAACCCTAGGAAACTAATACAGGTCCTAAGTACAACACATTTAATTAAAAATTTTTTAATTTATATCTGTAATGATTGGTGAGTTTGACTATATTTTCAAACATTTCTAATTCTCTTTATTCCATCAATAGACTTTTCCTGTCTTTAACTTATTGTTTATATTACTTATATTCTTTGAACTGATTTGTTGAAATTTTATATTATTTACAATTAATGCTTTGTTATATTCTATCAATAGTATTCCTGTTTGTTCCTTACCTTTTTAACTTTTCAAAACTAATGCATTTTGATGTTTAAGAGTTTTACATTTGTATTTAGTCAAATTTGTCAGTCTTTTCCTTAGTGGCTTCCTGGTTTTTGTGCATCATGCTTAGAAATGGCTTCTCCATCTCAAAATTATTAAAATGTTTTGTCAGCACTGTTTGGCCTGGCTTAATAGAGGGAACAGGAAAGTTTTCCCTGGCTAGGGCCATCATAAGCCAAAGTTTCACTGGGCCTGGAAACAGTTTCAAGCTTCACTTTTTTAAGTTCTTCAAAACCCTCCAATTTTGCAATTGCCTCTCAATCTGTAGTTCCTGTGACCTGAGAGCCAGTTGCTTATTCCTTCTGTAATGCCAAGGGATCCAGGGTCCAGCCCCAGGTTCTTTTGTAGTAATAGCCCTTCATGCCTTTAAGCAGTCTTCTTGGATGGAGTCCCCATTACCTCTCATTGTGTGACACACTGAACCCAAACAGGGTTTGCAACAATAGTTGCAAAAAGGTGGCTGGGGCTTCATCATCTTGAAGCCTTTCTCATTCACACATGTGACACCTGACCAGTGGCTCCTTGAGTCTCTCTCTCTCTCTCTCTCTCTCATTCTCTCTTACTCTCTGGCTCTGTCTCCTTCTTCTTCTCTCCATGTTGTGTCTCCACATGGCTAAGGTAACTGGATTTTTTTATGTGATGGCAAAAGGTTGCCAGAGCATGTGTCCCAAGAGCAATAGTGAAGCAAAAGCTGTATTGTCTCTTATTATCTAGCCTTGAAAGACATGCAGCATCACCTCTGCCACATTCTATTTGATAGGAGTGAGTCACTAATGCCAACCCATAATCAACAGGATAGGAATTAGACTCCATCTTCTGAAGGAGAGATGTGCTGATGAATTTTTAGACATCATCTAAAACTGCCAAAGATAGTATGTGTCTAAGAAATCTCTAAGCCTGGTATGGGCTTTGCACTAAGAGATGTCTTCCGTGCAAAGCCCATACTAGGTCAAGGAGAAACACACAAGTGTTCCTTGCCTTGCCTCACCCAGAGAGATGTGCTCATCCCTGCTCAGCGGTAGCGTTTCTTCTTCACTCTTCCACCAGACTGAGTCACCAGCTTGTTTCTTAAACTTGGATTTCCTGGGTGGAGATCAGACTTGAGTTCTTGACACCACTCCATGAAAAAATAGAAAACACCTATCAAGCTCTCTGAGGGATACAATTTGAAGCAACTCTCACCCTGGAAGTGAAGAGCAGGCATTCTTCCTCCTCCCCTTAATTCAGCAATAAGAGCTAGTCTAAGTGCATGAGGATACAGTTAAAATGACTTAAGAGTCACCAAAATCAAGTCTTCAAGAATATTTGTAGGCATGGAAAATGTTTCCTTAATAGGAAAATATTTTTTCTTAAATTAAGTTAAATCATGATAAGTTTCAAAAACTCAAAATGGCTAAGCAATATGTTTAAGCTAGAGCTATAAGCTTCTTTTAGTTCTTTTTGTTTATTAGATTTTAAGGCACTATTTAGAATTCTTCTTTGGAAAAAGAAGTCAGAGAAAAATTAAGTAACCTAACTAAAGTTATCTAATCAGTCAATGAGAAAATTAATCACAAGACCTAGATATCACAACTTGTATCAGGATTCAAACTCATGCAACCAAGATGTTTTTAGTAAAGTTATAAGATGTGCCTCAATATTTGTTTGTTTTAATGGTCAGAAAATAAACAAAAAATTCCAGATCCTACCAAACTATACTTTTCATTTTCTAAGCATTAATGAATGTATTTTAACAAAAGCCAATTTTTAACAAATAAATACTACTGAGAAATTTTACTTAATATCTATGGGTCTAACTCATATGATTGAATGCCATTGGCTTGAAGAGCTGCAAAGTCAGCAGCAAAGTACTTTTGAGACAACGCAGGTCATGGTGTTGAAAAGCTACTTGTTGAGTTAAGCAAAGGCTGAAGGCAGTGTGGATTCACAAGGCAAGTACAGTAACCAAGTCCCATGATCCATCACCTATAGGTTTGTTATTTTTGCTATGACAACTGCTTATCTTTGCTAGAAGCTTTCAGATCCACAGCTGACACTTGAAGTGGTTTTTCTTAACTGTCTTGACAAGAAAAGACTGAATACAAAAATTCAGTAACACATCAAGAGATTTCCATGTGAAGGGTATTAGGGAATTTATTATAACTGATCTTTTTATGATCGCACAAGTGATGTCCAAAAGATACTTCCGTAGCACATATACTAAAATTGGAACAATACAGAGAAGATTAGCCTGGCCCTTGCACAGGATGATGCACAAGTTCATGGAGTGTTTTATATTTCTTTAACAACAACAACAAAAAAGACACTACACAGGGAATACTTGTTACGTTGAACTCTGGTATTCACCAATAAGATGTAGTTAACCAATCACCTAAAGCTAACTTGAGCCCTTTAAAGCTAAAATTAGTGCTATTACTAGCACAATAATTAAAAGTCAATAACAGAAGGATCAAACTGTTGGTCTCTAGCCCTTGTGCTCAGGCCAATTAGACCAACCTAAAGTCCCGATGCTGGATTGCAGACTCTGGCATGCCACTCTGAGTCCATAAGGCCGTCTCGTCCACTGGTGTGGCCCTAGTCCTTGTCTGTCTTCTTAGACCATTCTCTGTGAGTAGTCTAGATGAGGGTGGCAACCCCCCACCGAGAGGCCAGACAAACATAAACAAGTAAGGTGGCCTGGCAGCTGGGGACCAGTTGAGGGCTCAGGCCCTGACTGTTGGCAACAGCAACTGTGCAGCTCCAGACGGTTGTTGCCACAGTAGAGTTTAGGCCCCTGTGTACCAGATCTTCCAATGTTCAAGATAAACTAAAAATCTGGAATTTAAATTTTTTTTTATTTTTTCCATCTGATTCCAGAAAGTGTCTACATTCTGGAACGTACAAATAATGTATATCTGTGAGCCAAATTTGATCCATAAGCTACTTCTTTGCCTTTTCTGGCCTTGAGGTTAGTTGGAACATTGGGAGAACCACATTCCTCCTGACTAGGACTAGGACTTTCCATTCCATGCCTATAGTTGTGGCCATTGTTCAGAATTGGAAAACCATTCTTCTTGAGGGTCATTCCCTCTGTTTGATTCCCAGCTGCTTCTTTTGGTCAAGATGGATCAAGAGTTAGGCAAAGTACTTCCTCACCTTCCAGTTCAGGGGAGTCTGCCTCTGCTCCCTGGTGATGAAGAGCCAGCAGCATCCTTAAAGTCCCCAATGGCCCTGGATCCTGGCATTGTTCCTACAGTTCAACATTAGAATAAGACTTTCTTTAACAAAGAGGCACTCTATGTCACTGGCTCTAAAGCTAGCTTTTGCATTGGAAGCATCTAAAGAATAATTTTTAAAACAGAGTCCATGGTCTTACACAAGACAATCAGATTTAGCCAAAAAGTATGATGTCAGGCAGCAGTTCTCAAATGTTTTATTCTCAGGATAACTTGGCAACCTTAAAAATTATGAAGGATCCCCAAAAGCTTGTGGTAATATGGGTTATAATATCTGTTTATATTTACTATATTATATTAGAAATTTAAACTGAAAAATTACAAAATGTATATCATTTTATGTAAAAATTAAACTCACTGTGCATTAATATAAATAACAGATTCTTGTGAATAATAAATATATTTCCTGAAACAAAAGTCATGTCATGAGAAGATTAGCATTACTTTACAATTTTGCAAATTTCTTCGATCATCTGGCTTAATAGAGAGCAACTGGACTCTCCTCTCTGCTTCTGTATTCAATCTATTGCCACATGTTGGTTTGGTTGAAGCAGATGAAGAAAATGTGACCTTTGAATTTGTGGTTGAAAAAGGGAGACATATTTTAATAGCTTGTTCATATAATTATAGATATTGTACTCTAATATTACACTAAAACTCACTGAATGACAGTTTCTTAAAGCAAGGGAAAATCTTAGATCAAATCAATGAACTCTTTGTACTTACACTAAAATTCATTTATCTTCTTGTACTTTTAAGGGATCTTTTACCCAAGAGTGATTCTATAACATCATGCATTTGTTATGTAAAAAATATCTGTTCACAGGTCTTCTAAAGCTTGCATTACACAGCATCATCACATATCATGTAGCCCCTGGAAAACCCTGTTGTACACTCTGTGACAGAATGAGAGTGATAAAAATAAATAATGCCTTAGTATTATTATGAAAATGGCTCTGGCCTCTATGGACCCTCTGGTGTAGCAAAAAGAGCCCTTTCCTAGAAATCTATACATCTGGATTCTGCCTCAGACTATGCTACTAACTAGTTCAGTGAACTTAAGAAAGTTTCCTCACCTTTCTATGGCTCAGTTTCTCAAGTATAAAATGGAAGTTTGGAACACAAGTCAGTGTCTATCAGCGGGCACCATTGGCATTCAAGGCAGAAAAAGTTGTGAGGGACTGTCCCTCATGCTATAAGATATTGAACATTCCTGGCTCTTCCACTAAATATGAGTAGTGTCATAACCCACCCTGTGACACACCAGACCCTCAATGGAACCCTGTGGAGGATGATAGCACCTTCAGTCCAGACTTAGTGGATTAAATGAACTTTAGGCTTTCTTTCCATTTTGAAGCCACTTCTATTAAAATAATTTAACATAGGACTTCTGGTCAAGATGGAGGCCTAGGTAGTTACACTGTGCCTCCTTGCACAACCAAAGGAAGGACAATAACAAATTTAAAAACAAAAAACAACCAGAACTGACAGAAAATCGAACTGTATAGAGTCTGACAACCAAAGAGTTAAAGAAGAAACATTCATCCAGATTGGTAGGAGGGGCAGAGATGGGCAGCCAGGTGGAGAGGACTCATGGCAAGGCAGCAGCTGGAGGACCAGGATGGACAAGGCAGGGGCTGGCGGACAGGGTGAGGTGAGGGCTGGCAGAGTAGGTGGTCCCACATTTGTGTGCAGATAAACTGGGAGGAACAACTGGAGAACGAGGCAGACCACACAACCCAGAGTTCCAGTGTGGAGAAATAAAGCCTAAAACCTGTGACTAAAAAAACCTATGGGGGTTGAGGCAACAGGAGAAACTCCCAGCCTCACAGGAGAGCTCCTTGGAGAGTCCACAGGGTCCTAGAATGTACACAAAACTACCCACCTGGGAATCAGCACTAGAAGGAAACCATTTGCTTATGGGTAGCAGGGGAAATGACTGAAATCCAGTGGAAGTGAGCTGAGCAAGTGGCATTATACCCTCTTGGACCCTTACCCCACATACAGCACCACAATACAGCAACGTGGTTTGCCTCACCCTGGCAAATACCTAAGGTCCCACCCCTTATTATGCAATAGGTGCCCTGAGGGGAAAAAATGGCCCAAATGAAAGAACAGATCAAAGCTAAAAAAAGAAAAAATACAACTAAGTGATGAAGAGATAGCCAACCTATCAGATGCACAGTTCAAAACACTGGTAATCAGTATGCTCACAGAAGCGGTTGAGTATGGTTGCAAAAGAGAGGAAAAAGTGAAGTCTATGAAAAGTGAAATAAAGGAAAATGCCCAGGGATCCAATAGTGATGGGAAGAAAACTGGGACTCAAATCAACGATTTGGACCAGAAGGAAGAGATAAACATTCAACCAGAACAGAATGAAGAAACAAGAATTCAAAAAAATGAGGAGAGGCTTAGGAACCTTCAGGACAACTTTAAACATTCCAATATCTGAATCATAGTGGTGCCAGAAGGAGAAGAGAAACAGCAAGGAATTGAAAACTTATTTCAACAAATAATGAAGGAGAATTTCCCCAATCTGGCAAAGGAAATAGACTTCCAGGAAGTCCAGGAACCTCAGAGTCCCAAAGCACACACCAGGACACATCAGAATTACATTATTCAAGATTAAAGATAAGGACAGAATCTTAAAAGCAGCAAGAGAAAAGGAGATAGTTACCTACAAAGGAGTTCCAATAAAACTATCAGCTGCTTTCTCAAAAGAAACCTTGCAGGCAAGAAGGGGCTGGAATGGATTATTGGAAGTCATGAAAGATGAGGACCTACATCCAAGATTATTCTATCCAGCAAAGCTATCATTTAGAATGGAAGGGCAGATAAAGTGCTTCTCAGATAAGGTCAAGTTAAAGGAGTTCCTGATCACCAAGCGCTTATTATATCAAATGTTAGAAGGATTTATCTAAGACAAAGAAGAAGGGCAAAAATAAGAACAGTAAAATGACAACAAACTCACAACTATCAACAACCAAAACTTAAAAAAAAAAAACCACTAAGCAAACAACTAGAACAAGAACAGAATCACAGAAATGGAGATCACATGGAGGGTTGTCAGCGGGGAGGGGGAGCAGGGAGAATGGGGGCAAAGGTACAAGGAATAAGTAGCATAAATGTTAGGTAGAAAATAGACAGGGGATGTTAAGAATCAGTAAAATGGAGTAGCCAAGGAACTGAACAACAGTGGGGGGAACTGCCTGAGAGAGTGTGGGGTGTTGGGTGGAGGGGGGCAAAAGGGCACAAATCAGGACAACTGTAATAGCACAACCAATAAAATATAATTTAAAAAATAAAAATAAATGAGGCTGATCTGAAACTATCTTTGTTGGCAATGAAAGTCCCGCAGATATAAGCCAAAATTGCATGAATGCTGAGAAGAAAATTCCAGAATTTGAAAAAGAGACAACTATTGCAGGGACTTTTCCATAGTAAGCATCCGAAAAGGTTTGTAGGTGAATCTTGGAGCAGTGTTTCCCCTTCTATGTTTGGCAGTTCACACAAAGTTTGTATCTCTTTCTTCTGCTCCAGAAAGAAAGAAACTGATAAAGATTTGTGCATTCTGCTCTTTGGAGAACCTCTCTTTAGGTCCCAGAGAATGTTCACTTCCGTATCACCAGAGAAACGAAGGTTGTGGGGAGATAAGAAAACAAAGTTACCTACTGCTAGTGTTACTTGTGCACCTATTTGCAACTTGGCTTCCAGCTGACTCATGGAATTCGGAGAGGAAAATTCTGGCAAGTGTGTATGTTCCATCATCGTTGCAGAGATGAGGAGAAGGCAACCTCCTGGTAAAGCTTCTGTATGTTTGTGTGTCTCTGAATTAAACACTCTCAAGTGGACCTTCTGCATCTGTGTTTCTTATTTCTGTTCTTAAGTGGCCTAGAAACTTAGCCACTCTTTCCTCAAGCTTCTACCAATGACCAATTTAAGTACTTGATGGGAAATTGGCAAGATGATTTTAAGGTCTTTTCCAATCCTGTAAGTATATAAATTTACACATTTGTAAAGCTGACAATGGCTTCAAATTCATCCAATTCAATCCTCTTATTTTTGA